AAGACATTAGTTCCTAAAACAAAAACAACAATAAGAGATTTGCAAAACAAAGAAGAAAATACCTTACAACAAGAATATTAAAGGAGTGATGTAGAACCACAGTTTTTGACGTCCTTTGAATTCATAATTAGTTTTCTTCATCTTTTCAATAAATTTTTTTTCTCATTTTTCCTGTCTCGTTTGCTTTGTTGTTTTCTCATTTGTGAGTTTTGAATTTTACGACTATTTAAAATTAAAGCGAATTCCGGAATTATAATTTAATTTTTTTTTTCCTCGTACTTATTTTTTTCATTCTTTTTTTTTAGTCTTATTTTGTTTCATAAAATTTAAAGTTCATGCCGCGAAATTTTTTAAATAAAAAATATTTTACGCGCTCTAAAGAAAAGCCTTGTAATAAAAAATAAAGTACAAAGACGTAAAAATTTGGAAATAATTTTCTTCTTGTTAGTTGTTACGATGTACATGACATACATGACAAACACAAAGTGTTTTTTTCTTTCTTCTTGTTTTTCACAAAAAGAACTGTATAATAGGTTTAAATGAATGTAAAATTTCATTATCAGCTTATTTTTAAGGACAGTCAGCGTTTAAATTTTCCTAGTAATTTATTATGATGTGTGCGTATACGTACAAACATTTACATAAATATCCATCAGCCTTTCTATATGTAATTTGCGTTTGACTAAAATAATTTTACGATTTTTTTAATACGTTTATTACAATTTTGATATTTTGTAAATAAAATGTATAGTACACTGTACGACTGTAGGAAAGTGCTAATTTTAATAAAATAATTGTACATAAATTATAAAATTAACTTTTACTAAAGTAAAATGAAATATAAAAATGTTTATAATCTGCAATCTGCTGAGTACTGACTAAAAAACTAAGTTGTCATAGTTAATTTTTTCTGAATAGAATTATGTTAAACTTGTTTCTAAACGTTTCTAATGTAACCTAACTTTAACTGAAAATTTATTTTTAATAATTTTTTAGATGAATTGCTTTTTGCAAAATATACAAAATTCTTCTAAATTGTTAATAGTATAGAACATTTTGCTACAAACATTGCTTGTTACTACAACAAAATACCCACCTAAAAGTGAGAAATCTAATTCATAAATATGAAAAACAAAATAGAAAAAATTTCTTGTTCACTTATATTTATTATTTAGTTAACTTAAATGTTCCTTAATATTACCCTTCGCTTAACTTAAAACTTATTTTGCATTCTAAGTTTTTAGCCTGAAATTTCGACCAATAAATGCAAATCACTAAGGGAATATAAATGCAAAAGTATATTTTAAATTCAACATACAATCTATTATAAAATTTAGGAAGTCCAAGTCAGCAGATAAAAAATCTGTTAGGTTATATTTGACGTGGCTGAAAGAAATAACAACATTTCCATTAAATTTATTTTAAATTGGAAAGGAAATTTGTCCTAAAGTATTGTTAAAAGAAGCCGATTACCATAATTTTATTATTACAGAAGTTCGGTGGTGCTTACATCGTTCAGGATATATAGGGGACCAAAAATTTTCATATTACAAATTTTAACATATAATAATTCGAAAATTAAACATTTACAGATTTTTATAAAATGTTAACATTTGAGACACATCCGTGTCGCTCTGGAAGATTCATTTTAACAGTCTGACATTATTTTAGAGTTTTGTATGATAAAAGACCGAAACCTTGACGTTTCTGCGCTTACAGATTTGTAAATGGTTTTAGATATTTACCCAGTGTCCAAGTCGTATATTTATTTATTTGTATGTAAACTTACATCTGCACGGCTTTAAGGACATATATTTGAAATTACTCCAAAGAAATCACGCCTTTACAAGAATCTACATATATATGCGAGCAATATTTCATTCTTTTATCTTGAATAATACAGACGTTATGTACAAGCAGATGACCACACGAATAAACTCAGGAATAATCAGGCAAATTGTAATTATCGGGCACCTTTTTTAAAAATTTTTCAAATGTAGAAATTTCTATGCAAAATTTGAACATTCGGATAAAAAAACTTCAAAGGTAATAAGGGTTTTAGAGTCGCTTTTTAATTTAATGGCTTTTCCAAGGCACAACAGATTTATACAGTTTACCCAAATACATGGAATTATAGGTGCTTGTCACCCCAAATAAACTATTAAAAATTAATAAAAAAAAAAATCTGCATCTAAAAAACAAAAAGTTGGACGCAATATTTTAAATTCATACTTTACTGTACATACATACAAACTTTAATATCTTAAATAATTTTTGGATACAATCAAGTTTTTGATGTTAAACAACAAATACGTGTAGTACAACTTGATATTTAAGAATAAATTTACTAAACACTAATTTAATTTGAAGCTAATTTTATAAATTAAATATGAAAACAAAATTATCTTTTCTTTTGAATGAAGAAAAAACGAAAACTGGAATCACTTTAAATATTAAAAAAAAAATACTGTAGGGCCCAGAATTATAAAAAAAAAACCAAAATTTATTTGTCTAAAACTTTTTAATTTGTTACTGTAATTCTTAACAATTTGTGGGAAAAAGGCAAGAGTTAAAGTAAGTTTGAAAAGTATTTTTGCAAAAAAACTTTCCTAATTATTTGTAAGAATGAATCAATTTTTGCTTTTTTTTTCTTGTTGCTTTTTTTTTTTAAATATCTCTGGCATTTTTTTAATCTTTATGAAAAGGATTCAAAAAGAATTTTTTCAAAAATAAAAAAAAGAAATTTTAGTATTCTTTTAACATTTTTTCCCCAAAATTCAAAAAGCAAATTTGGCGAAAACTTTTGATTTGTTTTCATTTTGTTTTTTTATACATTATATACATATTTCCTTGGGTATGTATGTAAATATGTTAGAAATATAAAAATCAGAAGCTCAGAACTTTTCGAACTCTTTAAAAAATTTTAAAAGTAAAATTATAAAGAAAAACAAAAAAAAAAGAGAAAAAAAAATTGAATTGTTTCGAAAAAATTTTTGAACTGAAAATTTTTATTGTTTAATAAAAAAAAACTAAACTTGGAGTAGTTATTACCAGCTTTTTTAATAAATAGCAATATTATTGTTTATTTAAATTGTAAAAAAACCACTCCTCCCCAAATTCATAACGTAACAAAAAATATTGTACGAAAAGTATGATGTCTTGCCATTTTACTTTTTACTAATTGATTTCAATGTAAATTTATCCGAGAACTTAAAGCAAGGTTTTTGACATTGAACGTATTCTGTTAATCTATCCGTTTCTAATATAAAAGAAGAAACTCTTTAGGAAGCTTCTTTAGTGGTTTGAAATAACTATTATGAGTATCTTTGGTTTGTTAGTCGAAGTTGTTTACTTTTTCAACGGTGCACACTAGGGCTTGACATGAGCATTATCTACTATAAATTTGAAGGTTTTCGATATATTTTCTTGGATCAAATAACCCAAAACCTGAGTGTGGCGTGGGTAATCTCGATTCAGGCCATTTGACTTAAGTTAAGACTCTCCATAAAACATTTTCTATGAAAACTTAATATATTTGGTAAGAACATAGGTCTGTTCATACAATAAATTTTCATCAAATGATGACGTTAAATATTAATTTCATACAAAGGATGCTACAAATATCACTTACTTTTAAATTCTATTGAAATAAAGGAAACTAAAATTTTGTAGTTTTGAACGCCTACGTAAACATTTTTTGCATGCACAGTACATTTGAATGACATAATGCCTGTATTTTTGGTCACTCTGTCGACTTTTAATATTGAGAATTTTAAAATAAATTGAAAGTAATATTAATTAATTATTAAAACAAAAATTTCTGTTTTATTTTTACTTTAGTGAATAAAATTTACATAATAACTATGAATGAGAACTGCTGCATTTTTAAAACTGTTTCCAATTCCAGTAAAATTTAAGAAAACAAACGTAGATAATAGGAAACGTAAAAGTATGGCATTAATCACTTGAAGAAAAACTAAGTACCTACACTATTCTATTTGAGGAAAATTTTGTCCAATATGCTGTTGCTTTTTATTGTAAAATTTTTCATATTTAAGATAAAATTGTGCAGTAAGATTCAGTATATATGCCACGCGTTAATTATTATCTAAAATAATTATCTGAAAACAACTTGTCTGAATAAATTTAGAATTAAAAAATGGTTTACAAAATGGCACTTATTTACAATTAACATAAAATCTGACAAATTTACATTACATTGAATATGTAATGTAAATGTAATGAGTTTACATGCAGTAACGTAATAACATAAAGTAAATTTTGCATAAATGTAGGGGAAAACTCTGTATCAATATTGATCTCTTTCGAAAAACTTTTGCTTCTATAAAGTTAGATTGAATTGCTAATTGTTTAGTTTATCACAAGAGTTGTTTGACAAGAGAACGATATTATTTTTATAGAAGTGAAGACTTCAAAATTTCAAGAATTGGATGACAGAAAACTGATAATTTACAAAATTTGAAAGGTAATAGCTGAAAGATATACAAGGAAGGGATGAGAAAAAAATTTTGTTCAAGCAAGAAAAATCATTAATCAGCATTCATAGCTTTTAAAATTTCAAATTAATGCTTAAAAGAAATTATACTTTAGAACTTAGCAGAGAACTTAATATTTACATGCTTTTCTTTGACCAAGAAGGACTGAATCTTCATTCTAGTATAACATTGTATCTTAAATTAAATTTGTTACGGTAAACTAAAACTTGCAGTTTACACGAGCGCTAGTTTGATTTTATTAATATTGTGCTTTGATCTTTTTTATTAAATGCTATTTAAAAGACCAAATACAATCACTTTAAAGTTTATGTATGTGAATTTCTATATTACGATATTTTAGGAACGGTTATCTCGCCGTAACTTCTAATTATAAATTACTCACCTACTTATAAACAAAAAATTTTTATAAAAGATTCTGTAAACTTCCAGAATAAGAATTTACAGCCTGGTTATATGTGTCTAAATTTAATCTTTTTACTCTACCTATTCTGCTACATGATTCCACGTTTCACTCACCTGAAATTAAAAAAAAAGAAAAAAATTTAGAACCACAGAAGGATGTTTTGAAAAATAATTTTGTTATACGTACAATTTTAAATACTTATATAGTTTAAGAATAACAAATAATAATTTTGTACAAAATTTTGTAAAATTTTCTTACTTGTTTGTTTTTCTTACATGAGTGTAAATAGTTTTTCCTTTAGCTTTGTTTATTGTTAAGGTAAAGCAAAAGCAAATACATAAAGGAATAAAATTCTTTTGAAACATCGATTGACAGCTGTTTCGTTAATTTTATTTTAAACAGTTTGTCGAGAGCTTGAAAAAGATTATGAATTTTACCACTAAATTAAAGTTGATGTCTGTAACAAGAAAACCAAAAGAAATCATAACCGTGAAAAATAACTTGCTTGCTATTAATAATTAAAACATTTAAAATATACGTAGTATGTATGAATTATTCGCAAAATAAATTTTAAAAGTAAATTTTCTTGAAATTTTGTAATTTTATACAAAATTTTCTTTCAAAGATTATTGTTTCCAGTTAGTGGCTTGACATGCATAAATGAATATCAAAAAATAACGCAAGAGCACACACATTTCAATATGAAATAAACTACTTTGTATTGATTTTACTTTAAATTATGATTTTCCTTCTGAAGGAGCAAAATTTCCTTCTCAATTCAGCAATTATTGAAAGAAAATCATATTATTAAATTATAAAAGGAAAATTAAATGCAATAGAAAATGGCTCTCCGTTTCCCTTAATACCCAACCTAGAATTGAAAGCACTTCAGTCAATTCATTTAAGGGTTTTTAATACAATCAAAAATATTGATTCATTTAAATAATTGTGTAAGCAAAACTAGAATTAACATGATCTAACGAAAATTTGCAATAAAAGTCCAAACAAAATTATATAAATTAAATTACATACATAAACGATAAATGTCACTTCAAGCTCAAATGTTAAACATTAATAGGCTTTCCAAATTAGTATGACCCAAATTCTACAGCTTTTTTTTTTTTATAAAAAAATTCATGTAACATCATAATTTTTGTCACACTACTAGATTATTTATTAAACTATACGCTTAACAGTAACCACAAGAACCATGCATTTATAAAAGGAATGAATAATATTGAGAAGAGGGACACTCACATCGTCTCATTATCGTTGTCCACTCTAAGACTATAATAATATGAAAATAAACCATAAACTGCATGGTTTTATGATTTAGCGCAATGTAGGAAAAATTTTGTCAAAAAAAAAACAAATGCCATATTGCATTTGCTTATGTTATTAAATTCGTTGAAGAATTAAACAGGATTAAATTTACAAAGCTTTTATAATTAATTTTATTTTATACCCGCTTAGATACATGCATAAACTTACCAGATTAGGTCAGCTCAATATATATGCATAAGTATATCATCTAAATTTTATAAATTTTCGTACCCAATCAAGTTAGTTGAAGGGGCAACGGATCAACAGCATCGTTTAAACACCTTTTTTATTGCCATTTCGCTTTTATAACAAAATCAAGGTTGCTTAAGGCAAGTACTTTTTCTTTCTAAGAGACAATTCGTAAATAAGGGAATCTAGCATAGGAAGTATCTTTAAAAACTCCTTGCAAAGAATTCATTCGTTCAAGCTGAGCCTGGAATAGATAAATTACATTGAAATAAAAAACAAAAAAATGCTTCGTTTTCAATTAAAAAAACTGGACAGAAACCGCTCATACATATTTGTAATGACATGTGCCGGTATATTTCAAATTTTCTAGTGTACAAAACTCGCTTAGAATGAGTTTAAAATATTCCTTTACTTAAAACTATCCAAATATTTTTAGCTTTAACATCATAATTGATTGCTTCTATACCAATATTTTATAAACGATTTTTACAGAAAATTGAAAACGTTAAAGAAAACTCGGAACGTGAGAATTTTTTTTTCAAATACTGTCTTACTTTTCCCCGATTGAGTTCAGATGTAAATAAATTTAACGACTCATTATCGTACTCATCAATAACTTTTCCGAATATCAAACTTTACACAAAATTTTCAAAACATTTTAAATATTTCGTATACAAGTACAAAATTTAAAACTTCAAAACAAATTTAAAATTCTTAAAATAAAAGGAATAATATCTGCGAATTAAATTTGGTCGTACAGGATAAATCGCCTTAGCTTTAATACTCACCGTTATATTTTTATTAATCTATTTATTAAGGAAAAGCTTTGACATTTTTATTACATAATTTTTCAAAAACTTTAAATATATTTTTGTCTTTCTTTGATTTTCGTCAAAAAAAAAAATATATGAGACAAAAAATTGGAAACCAAAAATTAGGTTTGTTCGAATTAGGATTTAGTCATCTTCTTATCCAGGATAATCTAAAGAGAATACAAAAATTATAAAAGAAAATAACCATAAAAAAAGGAAAACAAAGAAAAGAAAACGATTTTTCTTTATTATACTTTCACTACACTCAAACCGAAAACTCTTAATACTTGTTTACCGTGGGTTTCTTCTTATAATTGCTCGATTTCGAAATATGAAGTATTTTTGGAATTTTATATCCTTAGATACACTAATGTTCAAAAGCGTACATGCACTTGTACAAATTAAAAAATAATAAAAATTCATAATAGTAAAATTTATGTGATTTTACGTCAATAAAATCTTAAATCCGATAAAAAAAAATATTTTTTATAGCAGAGAAAATAAAACATTTTTTAGCCCATAAAGTGTATAAACAAAGACTAAACAAACACCAATAATGTTAAAGTGTCTCCTATTAAAGGTGAAATTATGTGCAAGTAGTCGCAGAAGTTTACAAATAAATTAAACATTACCAGGAACGAGAACAAATTAAATTAATTAAAATAATAACGAATTAAGAAACTTTAAGATGAAAAATTCTGTTAACCAATTTGGATCCTTCTTGAATACAAATTATAATTTTATTTTGTTCAGGGTTTTTTTCTATTTGAGGTTTCGTTCCTTATTTGTGAACAATTTTTATGTGAAACTGATTCCTTTCTAACAGGAAGTCCTAGCACCGAATATAAATCAAAAAAATTTACTTTTTATCTAAATTACAATTTTCAAAACAAATTATTTTTATTTTAAATTTTCATCAGAGTTTTTGTACTAAGCTGAGGATTACATGTATTTTGGTACAACTGTTTTCATATCTAGAAAAATTTACACGAAAGTTTTCATTCGTTTTTAACATAACAACGCCATTTACAAAATCCAATTTGTAATAAAATCATCAAAGCCGCTGTACTCATCAATTGTAACAATTCTGTAAGACGTTATTGATTCAAAAAATTGTAACTTCAAATTGAATCCAATTTTTATTTGAAAAATCAGAATTCAATTTTTTAGACTTAAAAAGTTTAACTTTTCTCAAAATCAAAAAATTTTTGGCAGGCAGTTTAAATAAAACGTTCAATACTAACCAAGCTCTTACACATGTATTTTTGCAAAAATTTTGAAGAACATTGGTTTTTTCAATATAGGGGCATGTGGTTGGCTCCAGAAAAAAAAGTTATTAAAATTTTTATTTTTCACTTCCAAAGAGCCTAAATTTTTTTTGCTGACTCTATCTCACACCCTTGCACACATTACTCTGATGCAATAAAATTCATTTCCAGGCATTGATTGTTTTCAGTTTTCTTTAGTGATTTTGACCTTTAGTGTTTAGTTTAGTGGGTAACGGACAACCTTATATTTCCGAAATTGCAAGCGTTTCCAAATTTTTATATGTGCAAACGGGAAACATGGGATTAAGAAACATAATTATCTTTTTGAAGTCACGTAACTAACCCTTTAATTCGAGCGTTATGTTAACCCTTCTTTTAATTTTTTTTTCCTGTCTCATCCTAAATGTATGCAATTTTTTTAAATATTTATAAGTAACAGATTGTTTTTAAAAGCAGTATTCTCACTTGTTGAAGGGAAAAGTGCTACTTTACAAACAAATTTGTTTGACTCAACTGTATTTTAAATATATTGACAGATTAAGTTACATGAAAGATTAACGTTTCATCTAAAAATTTCAAATATAATTTAATACTTCTTCATTAATTTTTTTGCCAGCATATTTTTCGTAAAATCTTGCACCAAAACTAAGAGTCAACGAATTTAGTATTGAGGTTATATGCTATACAAAAGTCGAATAGTTCTACGAAACGAAACCACCCAAAAAAATCATAAAATTCAAATCATTAACAAAAGGAAATTATTTCGTTGCATGCCTTGAGAAATAATTTCAGCCCAATATTTTTATAAACCTGTAATTGACTACAAATTATTTTATTAGTTGAGAAGAAATAGAAGGTACATAACTTCAAAAAGTTACAATAAAATATTATAAATATTTTGTGCTTTGTTCACCATAAATTTGGTAACACTCTGGTTTATAAAAATTTATTTTTTTATGGCAATACATACAATTACTTGTAAAAAGCTATTATTATATCTCTCAGGATTTACAACAACGGCAATAACATTGCAAAGAACAATAAAAAAACTTTGAAAATTTAATACATGCCTATACTTTTAATGTAGATGTAATAAGATCACAGGGGAAATGAATTCATTAATGAATTTTTCATGGTATTAGAACATGTGAAGCATATTTCTGATAATACTTGAAGATTTTTTCCCTCATCCACCCATTTCTTTCTTTTTTCCTTAGAGCTAATTTTGGTTCATTATTTTATGGTTCAAAATTTACATCGTTATGCGTAATAAATCAAGAACAATGTCAAAAAGAGAGGTAAGTGTAAGGTGATAAATTATAATAATATAATAATAAGAAACACATACATACATATTATAAATATTAAACTTAATAAGTACTCGCAGATAACTGGTGAATTGTTAATTGAAGAAAATACTTTTGTCATAAGCAATAATCCCGTCAAATATTTTAAAAACTTTATTTCAACTTTTAGTTTCAAAGTAAATTAGTGAACTGGAAGCATATAACCTTAGTGTGT